TAGATATAGCCAAACGTGGGAGCACTGCTCCAGGGGCTGTGTGTTTCTATTGATGTACACAGTGTAGGGAAATACAACTCTATTCCCTGATCACCGCCACACCAGTCATATGATGATGTTGTGCTGTACAGGTAACAGTTTGTAAAAAAAAAACAGGGAAAATAAAGCAAATAATACTTATTTTCTTCATTTTCCAAAAAATTGTAACAAAAAAATTACAACTTTAAATAACTCACCATGCTTCTTACTAAATACTTTGTACTGTTTACTTTCCAAAAAGGGTAATTTGGGAGGTATTTGTACTGTCCTGACACTTTAGGGTCTCAAGAAATGAGATAGGTCATCACTACATCAGGATTGATCGATTTTCAGATATACTGTGTATACCTTAGATTGTACACTCTACAACTTTCTAAACTGTCTAAGTAATATACACTAATTTGTGTTATTTTTACCAAAGAAATGTAGCGGAACACATTTTGGCCTAAATCTCTGAAGCAAAATTTTATAACAGAAACAAAGAAAACTGTTTTCATTTTTCAAAAATTTTCAGTAGTTTTTCGTTTATATAGCAGACAAAAAACAATGGTGATTAAAGTGACATTAAAGCTTCTTTTTTAAAAGAAAAAAAAATTTAAATAACAAACATGTTATTCTTACCTGCTCTGTGCAATGGTTTTGCACAGAGCAGCCCCGATCCTCCTTCTGGGGTCTCCTGCTGGCCCTCCTGGTTTATGCTTTTCAATGGGTGCCGCCATGGAAAACTGCTTTCCATGAGGGGACCCGTGCAGGCTCACTCCTGAGCTGCTCGGTCTGCATCCGTTGACACAGAGCGTGCAGCTTAGCCCCGCCCCCACTCACTCGGCACAGCATTTGATTGACAGGAGCTCCCATTGCTATCAATCTGCCCATACAGGAGGTAGACAGTACCTAGAGCCACTGCTCTCATGCATATTGCTGGATAAGGCTCAGATAAGAATAAGGGGGGCTGGGAGATATTGTGCAGCACAAAAGGTTTTTCACCTTAATGCTTAGAATGTGTTAAGGTGAAAACATTAAGGCTTTAGAACCACTTTATACCACAGCTCTGTCTAAAATAATAACAATTTAATTTGGGTACAGTGTTGCATGACTGAGTAATTGTCATTCAAAGTGTGACAGCGCTGAAAGCTGAAAATGGGCCTGGGCAGGAAGGGGGTGAAAGTGTCCAGTGTTGAAGTGGTTAAATATATAATAAAAAGGGGTAGGGGCACTGATTAATAGAAATTGGCCAAGGTTTCAGCACTTGGAAACCTAGAAATAAATCAGTTGCTGTAGACAGATATTGGTCCTAAAAGGATTTTTGGGTGTTCAGACTATACACCCAGGCAGGGCACATAAGAGAACCTCAGCAACGCAATTCAAAGAACTCAAGCAAAGTTTGTTAAAGTAGCTGTAAACCCAACCACTAAAATCTCATACAGGGGTTAACATGATAATATCACTTAGCCTGAAGATGACAGCTGGTGATACTGACATAATTGTCCTTGTTTGGGTACTTTGTGTGATCAGATAACAACTGATAAACTGTATCAATAAAGCACTACTCCCTTTAGGAGTTGCAAAGAAACTTTTGGGTCCCCCTAAAGTCCTGCACAGCCATGCAACACGCATCTTCACACAGGCTTGCATCCAGGAGTCAAAGATCAGTCCTTGAGCTTTATTTTTATTTTTTATTAAGTGGATGCTCTTTTCCCTATCTGTCCAGGGGGTGCAACTCTACTCACTCAGATACTCTCCTGTACTGCTGATGGGTTGGTGGCTGCTAACAGGCCATCTAGCTGGGCCACTCCTTCCCTGCTGTACAGGTGTTCCTCACTCTAGGGGGCCAGTGAAGCTCTGAGCTTTCTTCCTTTCCAGCTCCACTGCCTGTAGGTGAGCCCATCTCTCCATCTGGGCCCCCTCCCAGGCTCCTGCCTTCAGCCTCATATCTTCCTCTTTTTCACCTGAACTCTCCCCTGCTGCCGAGCAGTCTCACTTTTAAGGGTTGTCCTGGCCCCTTGCCATGCCTTTTGTTGGGGATCAGCCAGCATCCCTGAAGAGTACAAGCCCGTCACTCCTCAGATCTGTCCACTGCTTCTAGATCTTACTCCAAAGCTCTAGAGCAGGGGGAAATTCCAGAGGGGCTGGCTTGCAGAGGCTCTCAGCCCTGCCCACAATTTTGGCCACCTCCTGACTATTACACCCAAGCTGCTACTCAGCCCTCCTTTCTAACAATCAGGACTCTAGCTCTCCCTAGCTAACTAGGAGGGTGCTACATTATGGTCCCTGTTTGGGCACTTTGTGCTATGCAGTGACGATATGTAAAAGTTCTCTATGGGCACTTTATATTATGCTCCGGTCCTGTCTCCCACAAGCTCTCTGTATCATGTTCTCCCCTAAAGGAAACTATAAACTGCTGTGCTTATGCACATTACTGATGAATATTCTGCTGTTGCCACAATTTAAAAAAAGGCTTGTGGAAAAAAACGATTGTAGCCAGAAAAAATTAGGAAATGTGCTCTGTGAAAAACCACATGTAGCCTGCTATCACTGTAGTGCATGTGGACAGGGATAGGATTTAAAGATGCCGGAGGACATCTGCAGCACTGACATGTAACAAAGAATTAAAAACCGAAAACCCTTCCCTCCCCTCACTTTTTTGTATTTCACATGCATATATGTATATTTTCTCCACATTTAAAGCACATGCAGGTCCAGCTGTCCAGCAGATAACAGTGTCAGTGTTTGAAATTTACACTTGGTTCACACTAGTGCAGGTCATGCAGCCCGCGTTTGTCTGGCGAACATCCGCCCATTAATTTGAATGGGCTGCTGTACCATATGTCTCGCACAAAAAAGGCGCATGCACCTTTTTAAAAACACAGCCCCGTGGAAATCGCATGGTCTTTTTGACCATGCGGTTTCCCTGGGGTTTCTGCACCCATGGACGCGCTGCGGGCTGAGATGCATGGGGGTGTCATTCAGAATAAATGGTAGCCCCACACATCACGCAAGAGCAGCCCGATTCAACTGTGGGTGTTTGCGGGTGCGGAAACAGGTGTGGCCGTGTTGAACCCAACATTACTGTAACATTTCCACAGATAATTACTGCTGTCACCCTTAAGCAAAAACAGTTACAATTGCTCAAGCAGCCCTGATAGTGCTACAATTTGTCCCGACTCCCTCAGGCTGCATTTGCATGGGTGTTTAGCCACACTGAGAATCCCAGCAGCAAGAATCTACTGATTCCTATGACTAGGATTCACAGCTGCATGCAGATAATCATGGCCTCTGAGCCCAAACACTGCAATTACAGGCTGTCTGCAGTTGTTGCTATTCGTGATTGTTCGCAGAACCTGCGGCGATTGTGGCTGGATGTGCTGGACAGATTGGTCTGAATATAAAAATGGAGGCAGGCAAAAAAAAAGTTCACACACTGATTACTGTCATTAAAAAATGTTCTAAGCACACAGTTATCAGAAGTATATTAATAAAGTATTCAGACCCCCTTCACCTTTTTTCAATTTTGTTATGTTGCAGCCTGATACTACAGTTTTTTTTCATTATTTTTTTTCTCATTAATATACACTCAGTACCCCATAATGACAAAGTGAAAACAAAACTTTAGAATTTTGCTTGCAAATTTATGAAAAAGGAAAAACTGAAATATCACATACACACAAGTATTCATACCCTTTGCAACAACACTTGAAATTGAGCTCAGGTGCCTCCCATTTCTCTTGATCGTTGCAGAGATGTTTCTACACCTTGATTGGAGTCCACCTGTGGTAAATTAAACTGATTGGACATGATTGGAAAGGCACACTCCTCTCTATAAAAGGCCTCACAGCTAACAATGTATACTGTATCAGAGCAAAAGCCATGAGGTCAAAGGAACTGTCTGCAAAGCTCAGACACAGGATTATTGCAAGGCAAAGATCTGGGCAAGGCTACAAAACATTTCTGCTGCATTGAAAGTTCCCAAGAGCATAGTGGTCTTCATAATTCTTACATGGAAAAAGTTCAGCACAGTCAGGACTCTTCCAAGCTGGAGGCCAAACGGAGTAATCTGGGGAGAAGGGCCTTAGTAAGAGAAGTGACCAAGAACCCAATGGTCACTCTGACTGAGCTCCAGACATCCTGTGTGGAGATGGGACAAAGTTCCAGAAGGACAAACATCCCTGGAGGCCTCCGCTGATCTGGGCTTTATAGCAGAGTGGCTAGACAGAAGACCTCTCTAACTGCAAAACACATGATACCTGCTTGGAGTTTGTAAAAGTTTTTTGCAAACTCCAAGCGGGCTTTCATGTGTGTTTGACTGTCTATGTGCAGCATTCCATTATTTCATTCACCCAGCTGTACATTCTGGAAGAAGCTCATATAATATGAAGGATTGGGAAGTCCTATGGTACCATCTAGTGGTGATCAGAGCTTTTGTGATTAGTGAGGGAGGATGTGATAGACCTACAGTAGGTCCTGATTCATCAAGCTGTAATGTGTGCTGAACAAACACTATTATCATGTAACTCATCAAAGCAGATAGCTTTTCCGATTCCTTAAATGTTCAGAATCTTCCCTTCTAATTTTAACATTTGAGGATCAATTCACTCAAATGGATGAGTTATTACAACATTGCATATATTGTATCATAATTTTCTCCTAAAACTGTTCACCTACAAAAGTCACCCAAATCTGTCATTTTTTTTTTTTCATGTGAAGTGAACAGCATCTATATGATCACACTATGATCTGATTATTCCTCTACATAAACCAGGGGAGCCTATCGTTTGAGTGAAGAAGGACCCCAAACAGCGGGATACCATACCATCCATTTTGACCCATTTAACTGCCTCCCGCCCGCCATATAAGGAAATGATGGGCGCAAGGCGGTTCTCTCGTTCTGGGAGGACGTCATATGACGTGGTCCCATTCTAACTGCGCATGCGCGGCTCCGGGAGCGTGCAGCACGGCGATCGGTGGTGCACTGTATCCCTCAGACACAGTGGATCACCGATCAACGGAAAGAGCCCAAGATGTCGGCTCAGTCATGTGATCAGCTGTGTCCAATCACAGCTGATTGCATGTAAATAGTGAAATGCCGGTTATCGGCATTTCTCTCCTCACGAGCTGTCACTCTGACAGCTCGAGAGGAGAGGAGAGCCGGTAATCGGCTTTACTCAGAGGGGACATGTACACTGATCATCAGGGTACTGATGATCAGTGTGCCCTGATGATCTGCGTTGCCCCAGCAGTGCCACCTGTCAGTGTCCATCAGTGCCAGCTGTCAGTGCTCATCAATGCCACCTGCAAGTGCCACATCAATGCCACATAGTGACTACCAGTGCACATCAATGCCACATATCAGTGCCCATCTGAGCTGCCTTTCAGTGGCACATATCAGTGCCAGTCAGTGCCACCTATCAATGCCAGTCAGTGTTACCTATCAGTGCTGCCAATCAGTGCCAGTCAGTGCCGCCTAGTAGTGCCAGTCAGTGCCACCTAACAGTGCCAGTCAGTGCCGCCTGTCAGTGCCATATGAGTGCTGTCTTTCAGTGCCCATCAGTGATGCCTATCAATGCCCATCAGTGCCACCTACCAGTGCCACCTATCAGTGTCCATCAGTGCAGCCTATCAGTGCCCATCACTGCAGCCTCATTAGCGCACATCAGTGAAGGAAAAAAAATCACTTATTTACAAAATTGTATAACAAAAACTAAGGAAAAACTTTTTTTTTTCAAAATTTTCAGTGGTTTTTGGTTTGTTTAGCAAAAAATAAAAAACCCAGAGGTGACTAAATAAAACCAAAAGAAAGCTCTATCTGTCTCACAAAAATGACAAAAATTTCATATGGGTACAGTGTTGTATGACCGCGCAATTGTCATTCAAAGTGTGACAGCGCTGAAAGCTGAAAATTGGCCTGGGCAGGAAGGGGGTATAAGTGCCCTGTAGGCATGTGGTTAAAGGGACACAAGTGTGATATGAGCTCACTTAATGGTTTGGTCATATATTTGAGGTGAGAGCACATCTGGTGGGGGAGCACAGTAAATGCAAGTTTTCTCACTTAAAAAAGCAATTAAAGAAGCATGGGATATTTCATTATAAAAGGAACTGAGCACGGTTGAAGAAGCATATATATGGATTCTTCCTTATAATTTCTATTTTATTTTTATTTTTTAATTATTGTATCTTTTTTCCTATGGATATGGACATTACTATTCATTTTGGCAATTCGTTTTTTGATCATAACGTGTATGGATATTGGTTTTGCATATTGATATTTACTTTGGCACACTTGGTTGCACTTATTATTTAATACTGATTTATTTTGAGTAATTTTTGTGAAGCGCAGCACATTTCTGTTCAATAGTATCTATATTCTCCAAAAATAATCTGTATACATCCGCTAATTAAAGTGGTTGTAAAGGTTTTTTTTACCTTAATGCATTCTGTACATTAAGGTGAAAAACCTTTCCATAGTAGCCCCCTCACCCAGCCCCCCTAAATACTTACCTGAGCCCAGTCTCAATCCAGCGTTGTGCAAGTCTGCAGCAGCTCTTGTCTCCACTTCCATGTCTCACAGCCTTGGCTGAGAGCAGCGGGAGCAGGACTATTTTCAGCTGGAACTTACTCTGGCTCAAACCCTCTACTCCCTGCTCATCACTATCACTTGTAAACACAGAAGTCCGTGTCTCCCAACAGCTCCCGAAGATCTGATCTCCTGAGCATCTGAAACTGAGTGCAGGATGGTGACAAGGGAGATGCAGGTGTCCGGAGTGCAGTGTGGATGCCGACACCCCTCTGGATGATCTCCCTCCAAGTGATCAAGGAGGAGCCACCTACAGTGTGTGGTAGGTACTAGACTAGGGTTGCCACCTCATCCCTTTAAAACTGAACATATATTAATTACACCGGTTCTGAGGCTATTTTAATGCAGATGAGGCACTAAGTGAGTTTAATTACCACCCTAATCAGCCACAGAACCTGTGGAATTAATATGTGTTCGGGTTTAAAGGGATGAGGTGGCCACCCTATACAAGAGATGGCTGGGTGCTTCAGCTTAACACAAAAACAAAACTAAGACATGTGGAAGGTGGTGTAGCTTTTAAGCTTTTTCACACCACTCTATGAATGAATTACGCAGCAGCTTTTTTTATTAAATTGTGACGGCGGGTAGGGGATCAGTGGGCACAGGTAGGTGCTCTTTGGTAACATGTTACACCTTAAATTAAATTGAACTTATCCATAACATACTGGAATTTTTTTATTTATTAATCAGAGTTTAGTGTTACTGTTTAAAAGCCCTCTCTTCTCATAAATCATTGTTTTATCTTGTGAAATGTTATTACAGTTAGGTCCATATATATTTGTACACAGGCACAATTTTTTTTTTTTTCAGGTATCTACCAAAACATATTCAAGCTATAGTTATATAATGGATATGAATATAATTAAAAATTATTATGGCGCCTAATGGAAATGTGCTGAATTTTTAAACCCTTCTCAAAACAAAAATGTGTACTTGCAGCTGCCCCTAAAAAGCGAATTAACACTTACACATATAACAATTGTGAATAGCCAGGCACTGTGCAATAAAATTATTTTACATAAATTATAAAGCAAAACAAACGATGCCAATAATCTCTGTGCATCTGATGTGAATTACACCTATTGTGGTGCTGAGTCCTCCTAATTGATATTAGTCAGAGAATGTCCATGTAGAGACCGTGAAGGCAAAATAAATGGTGACAGTCCTTTTATACCGCAGTGCTGTGACCATTAGATATGTGTCTTCATCATGTGCCAGTGAATAATAAGTGAATTGCTCTCTCACCAAACCTATCTGACCCCGGTTAAGGCGTTCAAAAAGTGCATTTTGGTAGTACTGTATATGCTGGAATGTCCACCTCTGGCTATCCTAGGGTGTTCCTGCCCTTCAAGGACTCTCCACAGGACAAGCCCAGGAACATGGTATATATAGAGTTACCATACACTCTCCAAAGGACTAGGTAATCTGTGACAGGTTCTCCTGCCCTTATAAGGAATATCACCAAGCCGCTTGAATAAACCAAAGAAGTTAAGGTGCTCTAAGTGTAGCATTTATTAATGTTATATATATAACCGGTAATACACTCACATGTAGCGGTGTCTAGTGTACCGGCACCAGTATGTACAGCCTGAGAAATTTCGAAAATGGCTGACGTGCGTTCCAAGTGCACACTCTCGGGTTTATTTGAGGATATGTACATCCAAATTGGAGGAAGGGTTTAGGAATTACAACTCTTAAGATTTGCCATCCCCCCTTTTTTAAAGGGACCAAAAGTAATTGGACAATTGAATCAAAAGCTGTTTCATGGCCAGGTGTGGGCTACTCTTTCGTTATTTCTTCATCAATTAAGCAGGTAAAATGTCTGGAGATTATTCTAAGTGTGGTATTTCCATTTGGAATCTGTTGCTGTGAACCTACATCATGTGTTCAAAGGAGCTGTCCATGCAAGTGAATCAGGCCATTGTAAGGCTTCAAAAACAAAACAAATTCATCAGAGAGATAGCAGCAACATTCAACAGTTTGGTACATTCTGAGGAAAGAAGAACACGCTGGTGAGCTCAGCAACATAAAAAGGCAGGACGTCCGCAGAAGACAATAATGATGGATGATCGCAGGATCCTCTCTATGATAAAGAAAAACCCATTCACAACATCCAGACAAGTGAAGGACACTCTCCAGCAGGTGGGCGTATCATTGTCAAAGTCTACAATCAAGAGAAGACTTCACGAGAGCAAATACAAAGGGTTCACCACAAGGTGCAAACCATTCATAAGCCTGAAGAGTAGAAAAGCCAGATTAGACTTTGCCAAAAAATATCTAAAAAAGCCAGACCAGTTCTGGAAAAGCATTCTTTGGACGGATGAAACTAAGATTAATCTGTACCAAAATGACGGGAATAAAAAAAGTGTGGAGAAGGCTTGGAACAGCTCATGATCCAAAGCACACAAAGTCATCTGTAAAACACGGTGGAGGCAGTGTGATGGCATGGGCATACATGGTTTCCAGTGGCACAGGGTCATTGGTGTTTATTGATGATGTGACAGAAGCAGCTGGATTAATCCTGCAGTATTTAGAGATAAACTGTCAGCCCAGATTCAGCAAAGTTGATTGGATGGTGCTTCATAGTACAGATGGACAATGATATAAAATGAACTGCAAAAGCAACCCAGGAGCTTTTGAAGGAAAAGAAGTGGAATATTCTGCAATGGCTGAGTCAATCACCTGATCTCAACCCAATTGAGCATGCATTTCACTTGCTGAAGGCAAGATGCGCTACGGTGATCTGAGCTGGAAGTTCCCCCCCCCCCCCCCCCCCCGCCTTCTCCTGTAGCCTTCTTCATAGGACCTAGAAGACTGTGACCCATTCACAACGTGCAGTGCACTTTGCGCACGTGCATTAGGGGACTGGCTGTGAAGCCACAAGGCTTCACTGCTGGTTTCCCTTGCTTAAGATGCCAGCCCCCGCACCCAAAGCAGATTGAAGAATTGGCACAGGTGAGGACATCGCTGGATCCCTGGACAGGTAATTAGCCTTATATTTAAAGTCAACAGCAACAGTATTTGTAGCTGCTGACTTTGAATTTTTTGGGGGGAGCCTGGAGCTCCACTTTAAGCTACATTCACACTGATCCACTGCAAAAACATGGCAAAAACACATGTGCGTTTTTGCCACTCTTTTCCTGTGCTTTTGGTGTGTTAGACTTAAACAGGAGCTCCTGTACATGCGTAACACGTGTGTTTTGCACATGTTTTTACCCTGAAAAACTCCTCCTTTAAAACTGCTCCCCTCCATTTGCCCAGCCCACGGAATTAACGCCTGAAGCTTGAAGAGGAATAACTTCTACTCTGGAGCGAATACAGGCTACGGATGGTGTGAAATGAGCATGATTTTCCCTGCTTTCCCTGAACGCCAGGCATACTGAATTCAGTAAATGATTTGTCCAGTGTACACATTTATTTATATCTCCTCTGCAAAAAGAAATCTGTCCTGAGAGAAATACAGATTGCCATAGTTTTGTCTTCTTCTTCTAAGGCACGCACCCCAAACATGAATGCAGTTCACAGATTCTGATATTCCTTGTTCCATGCTTATTTTATACTTCTAGCAAGAGAATGGATTAAAATTAATTAAACAAGAAATGTACGCATTTTGTGTGAAAAAAAAACAAAACAGGTTCATATTAATAACCTGGTGATAAATCTGGCCATGGTACCATTTTACCATCATCAACATCCTGAATATATTTCTTCTTCTACATTAATTACATGCAGTATTTACTGGAAATTAATGGTAATTGTTACAGGCAATATTACATTCCAGGGGTGGATAACTATGATTGCCCTTAACAATACATAAGTGTCCAAGGGTCCTTTGGGGTATGGCACTCTTCTCAAAAGATTGGGTAACCATGCTATCCCTTGGCAATACATAGTAAACTTCCAGGGGTCCTGCAGGATAGAAAGCACTCCTCACAGGTGTGGGTATCCATAATTGCCCTCGCCAATCTATGGCAAACCTCCTAGGGTTCCTGCAAGGTATGGAGCTCTCATCACAGGGGCAGGTAACCATGCTTGCTGTCACCTAAGTATGGCAAATCCAAACCTGTAATGGAGCTCTCATTAGAGGTGTGGGTAACCATGGCTTGTAATCACCTGTACATGGGAAACCTCCAAGGGTCCTGTAGGTTGTATAGCTCTCATCACAGAGGTGGGTAACCATGCTTGCCATCACCTATACGTGTCAAAT